TGAAAACACTTTTGACGCTTGTAACTTAAACCAAGTCATTTATTTGTAACAAAATGAACATCTTCACAACCAAATTTGCCCTAACTTGCAACTGGATAAGTTCCGACTTCTTGGTGCGATCTGGTTTCTGTTTGAAGCGTTATTGAGCCCAGTTTGTTTTTTGTTAAAATTAACCACCTCAGATTAATTTCAGGGTATTAGATAAAAAAGTGCAAAAGTTTAGAAAGTTCGTTATATGCCTTGTCGGTCATAAAAAAGGAAATTTGGATTTTAACACCAAAAGTCTAAAGATAAACCAAACACCAGTTCGAAAATGTTTTCACATTTTAGGCCATCTCTTCTATTTACAACGTGGTCTCAAAAAATCAACTTGTTGGTTTTGCAGCGATGACTTTTCTGCTGTTGGTCCAAATTTCACGATCGAAGCTAAAACTTCATAGAGAATTTAAGACGAAAATTCGATATACAGGGTTGCATTATTCAAATTAGCCAAATCAGAAATTCTAGAGAAATCTGTAATTCTACAAGATTTTCAACTAAGTGAAGTTTCGTTTCAAATATTTCGTTCAGTCATGAACCCCGGTATATTGGAGTTTTTTCTGAAGACAATTCTAAGTTTTACATGAGTTCCACATGAGTCTTAGCGATACTAATCGGCTAACAAAAGAAATTGATCACTGGAATACCAAAAGGTTAATTTTTTTAAGACGAAATGAGAGAAAAATTCAAGAACTTTTGTTGAGATACTAGGTTTATTTATCTCAATGCCTGTAGCGTTGAAATAGGTACAAACAAACGTTTTTTTTCTCTTCAACTGAGAGCATGTGGAACTTTCATCAATTTTACTTTGTTTCATTTTTCACCCTATAGAAACGTTATCTAAACAGGAATAAATTGCACTAAATAATGCTTTAAACAAAAATGAAATTGCTCGCAGCAATCAGAATGTATCCAGTTTCAGTTAGTTCAAATCTCTCCGTGTAGCGTTAATTTTATCGAGCAGTTTATACAGGGTGGTCGTCAACTAATGTGGCAAAATTCACTGCCAGAGATTATTTAGGAAAACATATTGCGTTTACAGTGTTTGATTGGGTGACAAATTAAGAGCAAATAAAATTTTCGTTTTTTCTAAATAGCTTTTCAAACAGTATTACTACTACCAAAAAAATGTGTTTTGGCCGTTGGGTTCTTTTTTAGATCTACAAATTTAAATTTC